GGAAAGCTACCACTCAAGAAGGTTAAGTGATTTGCCCAATGTTACACAGGATAGAATCAGGATTTGAACCCAGGGTTTCTGACTCCAAATAATAAGAGCAGCGACCATCTCTTGAACGTATAGAGTGCTTAATGGCTTGCAAAGATCTTTACATACGTATCAGTCAGTCTTCATAACAACCATGTGAGATGGGTGCTTGTATTACCCTGTGCCATATTACCTATGAGGAGAGTTTTAATGACTTATCCAGGGTCACACAGCTAGCAAGTAAGTGTTCAAGGTGAAATGCAAACTCAGATATTCTTGATCTAAAGCCTTACTCTCTATCTACTTTCCCCCTAAAACAGAAGAGTTTAAGTATTTTGCCTGTGATCACACAGTAAGTCAGAGAGGCTATTCTAGTCTAGTTTCACCCAAGTCCAAGACCATATTTTTTCCACTAAGCCTCTTAGAGTGGGGTTGGAGAGAGGGAGGCAGTCTGGGATCATTTTCATGATGCAGAAAGAATCAAGGATAAGGCGGAAAGCTCCAAGCCTGGTATCTTGAGTGATTCTGAGTGACATCCCAGGCATGGAGCCTTAGGTGTTGACTGGGGTCCAGGACACACCCAGCTGGGCTGGGTAAAGGAGAACACTCCCAGTCCCAGGGCCTGGAATCTATGAACAGATTTAGTCTTGGCTCTCCTCTGCTCAAGCCCTAAAACCTTCAGTGGCTCTTTGCCCACTGCTGAGTAAAGTACATATTCTTGAAGTTAACATTCAAGGCCTTACAATATCTAATGCCACCTTGCTCCCATGGCCTCCACTGTTTGGGCACTCTGGGCTTCAGCCAAACTGGAGGGAGGCCTATAAAGGTCCTGTACTTCCCCATACTGGGGCCTTTACTCACACTGGAATAGTCAGCAGAGACATAGCTAGAAATTCTTGTAGTGGGGGAAAATTGGGAGAAGGGGACTGTGATAAAGAAGGCAGCCCTACCACAGGGAAAGCCAGGGGAAGGGGCCACCCATCCCCTAGAAAGTCCAACCACTATCTCCACAGAGTTTGGAAAGAGAACGAGGGCTGAGGGACAAGTGATGGGACTCTGGAACGACCACTCAATCAATTAATCAATCAATAAGTATTTATTGAGCACCTACTAAGTAGCAGGATCTTTGCTAAGTGCTGGGGTTACAAAGACAAAAGCAAAACAATCCCTGTCCTCAAAGAGTTTATAGTCTATCAGGGAAGACAAGAACATATAACAAACAAACAACTGAATGAATGAATGTATCTGTTTATATGCATCTATGTGTGTGTGTGTGTGTATATATATATATATATATATAAATAATGTATATACATATATTTGTTTATAGTCATGTGTATATCTACATATTTGCTTATATACACATATGAGTGATATCTATGTGTGGATCTACATACATGTAATATATATGAATCGTATCATTCATGTGTGTGTGTGTGTATGTTTATATACACACACACAAATACACACAAGGCGATATGGGGAAAACATTCGTGACTAGAGAGATCAGGAAAGACCTCCTATCTCATGTAGAAGATGGCTCGTGACCTGAATCTTGAAGGAAAGAGCAGTGTGGGCTGATAGAAGGTGAGGTCCTGGGACAGGGATCATCATAGAGAGGAAATGTATCCCCCTCCCCCAGTCATTGGCCCCCAGAAGCTGAGCTCTGTTCCTCAGTAGTTGCAGCTCTTATTCGTGGAATGACCATCTCCCCTTCTTCCTTAACCATCCCTATTGAATTCCTATTTTATTTTTATTTTTGGAGGCAATCAGGGTTAAGTGACTTGCCCAGTATCACACAGCTAATAAGTGTATGAGGTCAGATTTGAACTCAGGTCCTCCTGACTTCAGGGCCGGTGCTCTATTTACTGTGCCTCATTTATTCACTGCCCCTTATTTATTTTTTAAAAGTACCATCTACACCAGGAAACCCACCCTGATTCCTAGCATCCCTAGATGATAATAACCTCCCCAGTGTGCTTATACCTTTCTGGCATGTATTTTTTTTTTGTATTTTAGTATTGTATTTTATATTTGCTTTCATCAGTGGCATTTGCCCCTACTAGACTGTAGGCTCCATGAGGACAGGAATTACATCTAACCTATACTTTCGATCTCTCTAGCACCTAGGCTGGAGCCTATTAAGCACACATGTGCTTAATAAATATGTATACAAGAAGCCACATGATATATAGAGCTCTGGCATTAGAGTTAGAAAGGCCTGAGTTTGAATTCCACCATGACACCTAAGAACTTGGTGACCACAAGCAAATCACTGATCATCTCTCTATCTTTACTCTCTCGTTTGTCCAATTAGGAAAATAATAAAGTAGTTCCTACCTCATAGGGGTGCTGTGAGTTAATTAGTTAATCAATGAGCGTTTATTAAGTGCCTACTGTGTGCCAGGCATTATACTAAGTGCTGGAGATATAGAGAAAAGCCAAAACAGACCCTGACCTCAAGAAGCTAATGTGGTTTCTCCATTCTAGTGAGGGACTTCTAAGATCTACACTGAGTAGATGGAAGCTAAAGTCAGGAGAACAGGAAAGCCTTCTGATGGAAGGATGAGGCTCAATTGAAACTATGCTTGTATTTCGCAAACTTCGAAGGGCTATTCAGATGTCCATTATTATCATTTACAACATGAATTGATGTGTTATGATGTTTCTTTCCTCCCCTCCAAATTCTCTCTGTTGCCTCTTTCCATGTCCTGGTTGGCTCCTGGCCCAGGATTTCCTAAAAGAATCGAAACCAGGGGCACTCCACCCTCCAGTGCCCCAAGATGAAGCCCAAAACTAGGCCCCTAATTGATGCAGGGTTCATTATCCTTCTCCTTCCCTGGGGGTTCAACTTTCCAGATTTGCAAAACTCAGTTCCTGGTGCTCAGAAACCCAGGAGTCCTTGGGGGTGGCCCTTCTCAGAAAGCTTCTAGGGTTCTCTTAGGGGCCAGGTTTCTCAAAAATGCTGGGGTGCCAAAGAGGCCTGAGACAACAGGAAGTGATAGTTCCGTGGGAAGTCCCTTGTGTGTGAGGATGCTTTTCTTACTCTTGGTCTAGGCCCCCTAGAGCCCTGGACTTCATCTTCCTGTTCTGCAGGCTGAGGAAAGCAGCTCCTATCACAGGACTCTGGGGGATGGGGAGAACAGGGAAGGGACAGTGCCAAAGAATATACCTCATCATAGAACAAGAGCTGGACTTTATTTATAATTATATATGCCTTTACCAGGGAGAGTTAGGTGAAGCATAAGCTCTTTGGCCAAGCAGTGACAGATGAACCCAACTGCCCTGACTTCCCTTCCTCCCCCCTCCCACCTGCACAGCTGAATTCATTATTCAGAATGTATTCATTCAGATCACATCATTCCACCATAATGTATTAATTAGTGGCAGGGGTCACCTAAATGGCAGGATCTGAAGCATTCTCAAAATCTGGACTGTTCCAAGTGCCTGAAACACATGTTATCAGAATCATCCTGCTCTCTCCAGAATGTCTCTGGGTAAAGAGTAACCTAAGAACAGGAACAGCTAGGTGGCACAGTGATAGAGTGCCAGGCCTGGAGTCAGGAAGACTCATCTTCACCAGCTCAAATATGGCTTCAGACACTAGCTGTATGACCCTGGGCAAGTCACTTAACCGTATTTGCCTCAGTTTCCTCATCTGTAAAATGGGGCTGGAGAAGGAAATGGCAAACCACTCCAGTATCTCTGCCAAGAAAACCCCAAATGGGGCCACAGAGAGTCAGAATGATTGAACCACAACAAGCATTGAAGTCTCATACCATCTGCAGGGGGAAGATCTCTGGTTTTAGAGTCAAAGAAGCTAGATTCAGATCTCACTTCTGATACTTTCTACTTGTATGACCTTCAGGAAATCACTCAGTGTTCTTGGGCCTCAAAATGAGAGTGCTGGACTCAATGACTTCTGAAGTCCCTTTCAGCACTAGATCTAGAATTCTGAGTTCCTTTCCTTCTCCAGGCCTATTTCCTCACCCATAATAATGGCTGTAATTTATACAATGTCTTATATGCTTTAAAAATATTATCTCTATCGCTTTTCCCTGCAACCCTGGGAAGCAGGTATTATTATCAAACCAATCTTAGAGATGAGGAAATGGAGGCAGACAGGAGTTAAGTGACTTGCCCAGGGTCACACAGCTAGTAAGTGTTATGTGTATGAGGCCAGTTTTGAACTTAGGTCCTCCTGACTCTAGGGCCAGTGCTCTATCCACTGCACCACATAACTGCCCCTCATGTGCATTTTTTTTAGGCTCCTGCTCCCAAGAACTGTTTGAAGTGCTGGGGGGAGACACACAGTCAAACATGAAGCAATCCCTGCCCTCAGAGAGTTTATATTCTATTGAATGGGGAAACTAAAACCCAGAGAGGTGAATTCACTTGCCCAAGGTCACAGAGCTTGTAATTAGCAAAGCCAGGATCGGAATCCAGATCCACTTTATAACCGACTCCTTTCCTCAATGCCCTGCTGTCTCTTCACTGGAATAAGCATGTTGACATATCTGTGAACATGTCAGTGGTAGATTGGTTTCCCCATTGCCTGACTATCTTCCAAAGGCAAGCAGGATCTTAAAGGGTTGGGACCAAAGAAGGGTAAAGACTCAGAAAGGGAGGAGAGAGGTTAAGGCTCAAGGAAAGTTGGGACAGGATAGAGCAATGGATGGAGGGACAGCCTTGAGGAATTTGTCTGGGAGGGGACTCTAGGAGAGCAGATGGGAGGAAGGCCAAAGACCACAATGGCCCATTGCCTGGTTTTTCTGAGCCTTAGGATTCTTGGGCTGATTCCTCATCAAAGCCTTCCTGCTTTTTTCAAATAAGAACCAGTCAGGTTTCTGTTTGGCTTGAGTCACCGGGAAAAGCCTGTCTTCTGAAAGATAGGCGGAGTTCATCGCAGGCCCACAAACTAGCCAGGGTGTTCTCCTGGAAGGATGGAAAATGACGTGCTATTGCTCCTCCTCTTAGCCTCAGGTAAAAAAAAAGAAACAGTCCAGGCTAGCGAAGGAAAACCTAATTGCTGTCATTGGGAGTGCTGGCTCACATATCCTCCTCTTCACCAGGCTTGACCTCTCATCTGACCTGTAATCACAACGACTCATTAAAGAAGGAACTAGCACCTTGCCCTTACAAACAGAAAGTGGTCTTAGGTAAGTTCCATCTCCTCCTAGTCCCTATTTTTTCTAATCTGGAGAATTGGAAGGAAATATCTTACCACTGGGCATTTGGGGGTCCTTAATAAAGAGGTTGTAGGAAAAGATCAAATGATGGCAATTTCAGGATCCAGGAGGGCTGGTAAGCTCTTCCTCACTGGAGGTCTTCAGGAAGAAGCTAACTGGACCCTGAGGTCCCTTCTAACCCTGAGTTTCTGTGAAACTAGAGCTTGCCTCATCTAACCCCATCTAACCCCTTCATTTTACAAAGAATTTGAGACCCAGAGAAGTATGGATTTAAACAAGGGACCTGTCCATGGTCCCAAGGATTGTAAGGAGAAGGAAAAGGATTTAATCCAGGTTCCCTGGCTTCAAGTCTAATGTTCTCTGCCCTTCTCTATGCTCACATCCCTCCTCTCCAATAGGCTCAGAAGCCAGGTCCATGATGTTTAACCAGCAGGAGTCATGAAGAATACAGTGGAACCAGAATGATGATACTTATCTCTGTCTACAGCAGAGTTAAAAAAAAAATGATTGTGGGTTGACTCAGACTCTAGGTGTGCTAAAAATGCAGATAGAGGATCTTAAGTCTCTCAAAACATGTAAGGAAAGAGAACAAGGGTTTTCCCCCAGAATCCAAATTGTTCTTGCCTATAAAAATGCCAAAGAAAACAACTGTGTGATTGGGCTATAAAACTGTGTCTTTTTTGTGGACAATTCTCTTAAAAGTCTAGCAGGGAAAGGAGTAAGTTCTTCAAAAAAAACTGGATTTGAAAATTAAAAGAAGAAAACCCCATTAGGGATTAAGATTTGGAAGAGAAAAAATAAAACAATTCTTACTTGAGAGAGGTTAATATAAATAAAGGCTAGTTCATGATTTATTACCAAATTTAGAAAGAGAAAGTAACTGAAATTATGACTTCCGGGGTATTCTTTTCTTGAATGGAAGAAATCCTCGTGGTGTTGCTGGCTGGGGTGGGGACTGGATGTAATTTTGGGCATGTTCCTAAAATTCTAACCATTGTGCTATGGTACCCACTGTGTTTGTAGTCAAAGCTCTGCCACTTGATCTGGGACAACTTTCGGGGCAACTTTCCTCATTACTGGACCTCATTTGTCTCATCAAGAAAATGAGGGGATTGGATTAGATTATAAGATCACAGATATAAAGCTGGAAGGGACCTTAGGAGCTGTTTACTCTACCCCCTTTATTTTATAGCTCTTAGTGCAGTTCCTGGAACATAGTGGGTGCTTAACAAATGTTTTTAGATTGATTGATTACAGACAAGGAATCTGGGACTAAAGAAAGTAAATGACTTGGCTGAGGTCAAACAGGAGTCAAAGCAGAAGCACTGGGATTCAAAGCCAAGTCCTTTGACTCCAAATCCAGCTTTTTTTCCCTACCCCATCATTCTGCCTCCCATCACTGGTGTGAGTCCTTCCAATCCTAAATCTATGAGGCTATGAACTCCAAAGACTTTGTGCCTACAATTTGGGGAAGTTGAGACTACTAACAATAACTCACATCGATATGATACATTACTGTTGACAAAGCATGCTCCTTACAATCCATGAGGAAGGCAGAGTTAGTATGATTTTTCCTGTTGTACCCATGAGGAACTGAGACTCAAAGACATTAAGTGATTTCCCTGGGGTCACATGGCTGGCCAGCAGCAGAGTCAATGGTTAAACTCAGATCATCTCACTCCAATTCTAGGACTTAGCCATGCTACTGTATGACTCAGTCTTATAGATAGCATGCTGCCCTTTTAAGGCATCCCTAGCCAAGCAGTAACTTGGATAACTAAAAACAGGATCAAGGTTTATACTGTAACAATAAACTTCTTATATTAAAGATAAAGCAAATGCACTATGAATAGAATTCTTGCTTTTATTATTATTAAATTGTTTATTATAAAGATTATGAAATAATAAAGCTTTCTTCAAAGAACCAAGATGGCAGACAGAGCATGATGCAGTAGGTAAGGGCTTGAAGACTGGCAGCTAGGCCTTCAATGTTCCCTCAGTGAAGTAAAACAGGAAGCTGTTGGGAGAGATTATAAGTCAGGAGTAATTTTTAAAAGCATGCGTGGCACAAGAGATAGCTAATCCTCGCAAGGCAAATAGTCAGACGGCTAGATAAGTGTGGCTGGATCATCCACCAAGACAGAGATTTCTACCACCACTAGAGCAAACCTGCAGTCCTGTGCCCCTGTTTAGCTCTGGGAGAATATTCAAAGCTAGGTTAAACAGCAATTGACAACAGTTAACTAAATGAGAGAAGGTACTATGTTTTACTTAGCTGTTTATTACTTTTCCATGTTGTCCCTGTTACATTTTATCTATCTCTTATCAAAAAGTAGAGAACTATTTTATTGTCATTTTAGTTATGAGTTATATCTTTGGGAAAAAGCAGTATTGCCTGGATTATGTGCAGAATGTTTTTAAAAATCCTTAGGTTGTTATGCCTGAAAGAGAAGCTCTGGCTGTCGTGATGCACTGCTCTTTATACTACTATATACAGTAGCTATCCCTAAACTAGATGAGATGGTATGGGGGAAAAAAAAGAAAGAAAGGAAGGAAGGAAGGAAGGAAGGAAGGAAGGAAGGAAGGAAGGAAGGAAGGAAAGAAGGAAGGAAGGAGGGAGCGAGAATAGGAGGAAAGAAGGAAGAGAGGAGAGGAGAGGAGAGGAGAGGGGAGAGGGGAGGGGAGGGGAGGGGAGGGGAGGAGAGGGAAGGGAGGGGAGGGAGGGGAGGGGAGGAGAGGAGAAGGGAGGGGAGGGGAGGAGAGGGAGGAGAGGAGAGGAAAGGAGAAGGAAAGAAGATGAATAGAGGAAAGGAAGGAGGGAGGAAGAAAAGGAAAGAGAGAAGGAAAAAGATATGAGCATTTACTAAGTGCATGGTGTGTGCCAGGCACTGTTCAAAGTACTTTACAAATATCTTATTTGATCACAACAACTCTGGGAAGTAGGTGCTGTTATCACCCCCATTTTACAGTTGAGAAAATTGAGGTAGACAGAGGTTAAGTAACGCGTTCAGGCTCACACTAAGTAACTAAGGCCAGTCTTCCTGACTTCCAGGCCTAGTGCTCTGTCCACTGTGCCACTAATTGCAGGGACCATATTTTCATAAATCTTTGTCTTTCTTCCAATTCTTTGCTCTGTGCTCTGAATAATGTTCATATTGAACATGTGATTTTATTCCCTTAGGGTCCTCCCAGTGAGGAATTCTCCATCAATGCAGATCAGCCTTCATTCTGCAACTCAAATCTAGTGAGTCAGGCAGTTGCCTGAAATCAAAACAAGTGAGACTACCCAAATTGCTGAAGAACCTAGGAGAAGCTAAGCAGCTGCCAGCTGGCACCCTTTACCGTGTTCACCCTCTCCAGCAAATCACAGATGTAGCACTGGCAGGCAGCTTGTGTTTAATTGTTTTCAGTCACATCCAACTCTTTGTGATCCCGTGTGGGGTTTTCATGGCAAAGATACTAGAGTGCTTTGCCATTTCCTTCTCCGGATCATTTTACAGATGAGGAAACTGAAGCAAAGACAGTTAAGTGACTTGCCCAGGGTCACACAGCTAGTATGCGTCAGAGGCCAGGTTAAACTCATGAAGATAAGTCTTCCTGACTCCAGGCCTGGCACTCTATCGATTGTGCCACGTAGCTGCCCTTTACATGTTTTATATGTGCTTTAATTCAGTTCCATCTTGAGTAATTTGAGAATGTAATTACCTCAATGGTATCTAGCTTGTGTTTGGAGATACTCCAGAAAAGACTAGTTGTGTCCTTGCAATGACTTCATGCGTGGGATTCCAGAGGCTCCCTATTACCTCCAAGATCAGAAATAAACTCCCCTCTCTGGCATTTCCAGCTCGCCCTAAGCTGCCTTCTTCCTATCTTCCCCTTCTTCCCCTCTTCCCCTTCTTCCCACATTTGCTTCTACACATCTCTGCTTCAGCTGCTCTGGCCTTGCCATTCCTCCCACACAACAGCTTGTCTCCCGCCTCCTCACTCTTGCACGGGCTGTCCCTTCCACCCTCCCCATCTCCTCCTCTAAATTTCCTTGGCTTTCTTCAAGACTCTGCCTTCTGAAGAAGTAGCCTCCCAGTTGCCAGTCCCTTCTCTTTTGAGATTATCTTCCATCTACTCTGTATATACTTTGTAGGTACCTAGATATCTACGTGCTGTGTCCCCCCTTACATGGTGAGCTCCTTGAGGGCAGGAGCTGTCTTGGCTTCTCTCTGTATTCCCAGCATTTGGTACTGCACCTGGTATACAATAAGTACTCAATAAATGCTTATTGGCTAATTGTGGAGAATGCACGGAAAGAAGATAAATCAAGGAATAACAGCTGACAGTTCCATAGGACTTTAGACTTAGCAAAGTGTTTTTCATACACTCTTTTCTCATTTGATCCTCATAACAAACCTGTATGTTATAATACTAAAGGTATTGTTATCCCCATAGCCCCCATCTACTGATCAGGGAACTGAAGCTCAGAGAGGTCAGTGATTTTGCCAAAGTCACACAGCTATACATTGGATATAAAAGACAGAATGTGAATCCACATCTCTCCTGGTTCCAGTTCTTTCTTTCCACTATGCCTTCTTGCCTGAAAGAATGCCTGTGAGCCTAAGGTCTTTAGAGGAGAAATTGCCTCCATTTTTATCAGTGGACAGTGGCAACTAAAAGTTATCCAATCAGTAGAAAGGGAATCAGGTACGCTGGAGGAGAGTAGATGGTAGTGGGGGAGGTTGTATGGGGACAGGAGGGAAGAAGTCTTCTCCCAGCATTGGCTTGGGGTTAAGTACTGAAAAAACTGTTAATATAATTGTTAACATAATGATAGAGAATTGTTAATACCGATTGTAATATAGACTGCTAAACCTCTAAATTCCAGTAATTTCTTTATATTCCTACCATTAAAATAATGGGATTAGGTTGAGTGGAAACACACCTCAAGCCCCCACCCTGAAATCTTAAGTCCCCACTTCAGA